CACAATGGAGTACAACTTAGCCATAAAAAAGGAATGAGATGGCTGGGCACCATAACTCACACCTGTAATCCTAGCATTTTGGAAGGCCAAGGTGGGAGGATGGCTTGAGCCAAGGAGTTTGAGGCCAACCTAGGCAACATAGTGAGACCCAGTCTCTACAAAAAATAAATTTAGGCCGGGCACTGTGGCTCACGCCTGTAATCCTAGCACTTTGGGAGGCCGAGGTGGGTGGATCACCTGAGGTCAGGAGTTCAAGACCAGCCTGGTCATCATGGTGAAACCCCATCTTAAAAATAAATAAATAAATAAATAATAAATTTAAAAAAATTTAGCCGGGGCAGTGGTACATGCCTGTAGTCGCAGCTATTCGAGAGGCTGAGGCAGGATAATGACTTGAGCCCTAAAGATTGAGGCAGAAATGAGCCATGACTGTGCCACTGTACTTCAACCTGGGCAGCAGAATGAGAACCTGTCCAAAAAAAAAAAAAGATTTACCAAGCAAATGGAGAGCAAAAAAAAGCAGGAGTTGCAATTCTCATCTCTGATAAATTAGACTTTAAAGCAACAAAGATCATAAGAGACAAAGAGGGACATTACATAATGGTAAAAGGATCAATGCAACAAGAAGAGCTAACGATCCTAAATATATACGCACCCAATACAGGAGCACCCAGATACATAAGGCAAGTTCTTAATGACTTACAAAGAGACTTAGACTCCCACACAATAATAGTGGGAGACTTTAACACCCCATTGTCAACATTAGACAGATCAACCAGACAGAAAATTAACAAGGATATCCAGGACTTGAACTCAGACCTGGACCAAGCAAACCTAATAGACATTTACAGAACTCTCCACCCCAAATCCACAGAATATACATTCTTCTCAGCACCACATCACACCTACTCTAAAATTGACCACATAATTGGGAGTAAATCACTCCTCAGCAAATGCAAAAGAACGGAAATCGTAACAAACAGTCTCTCAGACCACAGTGCAATCAAGTTAGAACTCAGAATTCAAAAACTAACTCAGAACCGCACAGCTTCATGGAAACTGAACAACTTGCTCTTGAATGTTGACTGGATAAACAATGAAATGAAGGCAGAAATAAAGATGTTCTTCGAAACCAACGAGAATGAAGACACAACATACCAGAATCTCTGGGACACATTTAAAGCAGTCTCTAGAGGAAAATATATAGCAATAAGTGCCCACATGAGAAGCAAGGAGAGATCAAAAATTGACGCCCTATCGTCAAAACTGAAAGAGCTAGAGGAGCAAGATCAAAAACACTCAAAGTCTAGCAGAAGACAAGAAATAGCTAAGATCAGAGCAGAACTGAAGGAGATAGAGACACAAAAAACCCTTCAAAAAATCAATAAATCCAGGAGCTGGTTTTTTGAAAAGATCAACAAAATAGACAGACCACTAGCCAGATTAATAAAAAAGAAAAGAGAGAATAACCAAATTGATGCAATAAAAAACGATCAAGGGGATATCACCACAGATTCCACAGAAATTCAAACCATCATCAGAGATTATTACAAACAACTCTACGCACACAAACTAATAAACCTGGAAGAAATGGATAAATTCCTGGACACTTGCCTCCTGCCAAGCCTAAACCAGGAAGAAGCCGAAACCCTGAACAGACCCATAACAAGGTCTGAAGTTGAGGCAGCAATTAAGAGCTTACCACCCAAAAAAAGCCCAGGTCCAGATGGGTTCACAGCTGAATTCTACCAGACATACAAAGAGGAGCTGGTACCATTTCTTCTGAAACTATTCCAAACAATACAAAAAGAGGGAATTCTTCCCAAATCATTTTATGACACTAACATCATCCTGATTCCAAAACCCGGCAGAGACTCAACAAGAAAAGAAAACTTCAGGCCAATATCCATGATGAACATAGATGCAAAAATCTTCAATAAAATACTGACAAGCCGATTGCAACAGCACATCAAAAAGCTTATCCACCATGATCAAGTAGGCTTCATCCCGGGGATGCAAGGCTGGTTCAACATACGCAAGTCTATAAACGTAATTCACCACATAAACAGAACCAAAGACAAAAACCACATGATTATCTCAATTGATGCAGAGAAGGCCTTTGACAAAATTCAACAGCCCTTTATGCTAAAAACACTCAATAAGCTAGGTATCGATGGAACATATCTCAAAATAATAAAAGCTATTTATGACAAACCAACAGCCAATATCATACTGAATGGGCAAAAGCTGGAAGCATTTCCCTTGAAATGTGGCACCAAGCAAGGATGCCTGCTCTCACCACTGCTATTCAATATAGTATTAGAAGTTCTAGCCAGAGCAATCAGGCAAGAAAAAGAAATAAAGGGTATTCAAATAGGAAAGGAGGAAGTCAAATTGTCTCTATTTGCAGACGACATGATTGTATATCTAGAAGACCCCATCATCTCAGCCCCAAACCTCCTGAAACTGATAAGCAAGTTCAGCAAAGTCTCAGGATACAAAATCAATGTGCAAAAATCACATGCATTCCTATACACCAATAACAGACTTAAAGAGAGCCAAATCAAGAACAAACTTCCATTCACAATTGCCACAAAGAGAATAAAATACCTAGGAATACAACTAACAAGGAATGTAAAGGACCTCTTCAAGGAGAACTACAAGCCACTGCTCAACGAAATAAGAGAGGACACAAACAGATGGAGAAACATTCCATGTTCATGGTTAGGAAGAATCAATATCGTGAAAATGGCCATACTGCCCAAAGTAATTTACAGATTCAATGCTATCCCCATCAGGCTGCCAATGACCTTCTTCGCAGAACTGGAAAAAACCACCTTAAACTTCATATGGAACCAAAAGAGAGCCCGCATAGCCAAGTCAATTCTAAGCAAAAAGAACAAAGCGGGGGGCATCACACTACCGGACTTCAAACTATACTACAAGGCTACAGTATTCAAAACAGCATGGTACTGGTACCAAAACAGAGATATAGACCAATGGAACAGAACAGAGGTCTCAGAGGCAACACAACATATCTACAACCATCTGATCTTTGACAAACCAGTCAAAAACAAGCAATGGGGAAAGGATTCCCTGTTCAATAAATGGTGTTGGGAAAGCTGGCTAGCCATGTGCAGAAAGCAGAAACTGGACCCCTTCCTGACACCTTACACTAAAATTAACTCCAGATGGATTAAAGACTTAAACATAAGACCTAACACCATAAAAACCCTAGAAGAAAATCTAGGTAATACCATTCAGGACGTAGGTGTAGGCAAGGACTTCATGACCAAAACACCAAAAGCATTGACAACAAAAGCCAAAATAGACAAATGGGACCTAATCAAACTCCACAGCTTCTGCACAGCAAAAGAAACAATAATTAGAGTGAATCGGCAACCAACAGATTGGGAAAAAATTTTTGCAGTTTACCCATCTGACAAACGGCTGATATCCAAAATTTACAAAGAACTAAAACAGATTTACAAGAAAAAAACTAACAAGCCCATTCAAAAGTGGGCAAAGGATATGAACAGACACTTTACAAAAGAAGACATACGTGAGGCCAACAAACATATGAAAAAATGCTCATCATCACTGGTCATCAGAGAAATGCAAATCAAAACTACATTGAGATACCATCTCACGCCAGTTAGAATGGCGATCATTAAAAAATCTGGAGACAACAGATGCTGGAGAGGATGTGGAGAAATAGGAACACTTTTACACTGTTGGTGGGAGTGTAAATTAGTTCAACCATTGTGGAAGACAGTGTGGAGATTCCTCAAGGACATAGAAATAGAAATTCCATTTGACCCAGCAATCCCATTGCTGGGTATATATCCAAAGGATTACAAATCGTTCTACTATAAGGACACGTGCACACGAATGTTCATTGCAGCACTGTTTACAATAGCAAAGACCTGGAACCAACCCAAATGCCCATCGACGATAGACTGGATAGGGAAAATGTGGCACATATACACCATGGAATATTATGCAGCCATCAAAAACGATGAGTTTGGGTCCTTTGTAGGGACATGGATGAACCTGGAAACCATCATTCTCAGCAAACTGACAGAAGAGCAGAAGATCAAACACCGCATGTTCTCACTCATAGGCGGGTGTTGAACAATGAGAACACATGGACACAGGGAGGGGAGCACTACACACTGGGGTCAGTTGGGGGGAAATAGGGGAGGGAGGGTGGGGGGTGGGAAGCTGGGGAGAGATAGCAAGGGGAGAAATGCCAGATGTAGGTGATGGGGAGGAAGGCAGCAAATCACACTGCCACGTGTGTACCTATGCAACAATCTTGCATGTTCTTCACATGTATCCCAAAACCCAAAATGCAATAAAATAAATAAATGGGGGAAAAAAAAAACCTGTGTTGTTAAATCTATGCCTGTATCAAAGTATCTCATGTACCCAATAAATATGTATACCTACTATGTAGTCACAAAAATTAAAAATAAAAAATTAACTGTAATCCCAGCACTTTGGGAGGCTAAGGAGGGGATCGCTTGAGCCCAGGAGTTCAAGACCAGCCTAGGCAACATGGTGAAACCCCAGGTACACAAAAAATACAAAAATTATTTGCATTTTTTGGTTTGCCCCTGTAGTCCCAGCTACTAGGGAGGCTGAGGTGGGAGGATCACCTGAGCATGGGAGGTCAAGGCTGCAGTGAGCCGAGATCATACCACTTCTCTCCAGCCTGAGGGACTTTTTAATTTTAATTTTTCCATAAGTTATTGCGGTACAGGTGGTATTTGGTTACATGTGTAAGTTCTTTAGTGGTGATTTGTGAGATTTTGGTGCACCCATCACTTGAGCAGTATACACTGCACTCTATTTGTAGTCTTTTATCCCTCACCCCCTCCCACTCTTCCCTGACTTTATTTTAAACCTTTTTGAATATTAAAAAAGCGGGGAAAAAAAAAAAGGGAAGCACCGTGTTTATTCATGAATATTTCTTAATCTATCCCTTCACTGTCTAGGTTTTTCTACAGCTCCCAGTAGAGCATAACTTTGCCATAGTTGTCCACACAAAAGCAGCAGGCCGGACCAGTATCAAGGTCACTGTTCACTGCATGAACAGTTCCTCTGGGCAGTTTGAGGGGAATTTGTTGGAACTCTCTGATGAAGTACAGATCCTGGTAAGCTCCCAAATCTAAATCTTGTTGTATATCAAGGACAAGAAAGTTATATACTCTTACCATCCATGAAGAGCTTAGTCTGAATAGAGACAGAGAATTGTTAGAGGAATTCTGGAACAGATTTGTAGTTCCTAGATCTTTATCATTCCAGCTGATTGCTTGTATATAGTTTTGTTTTTTGTTTTTGAGACAGAGTCTCACTCTGTCACCCAGGCTGGAGTGCAGTGGCATGATCTCAGCTCACTGCAGGGTTCAAGTAATTCTCCCTGCCTCAGCCTCCCAAGTAGCTGGGATACAGGCATGTGCCACCACACCCAGATAATTTTTGTTTTGTTGTTTTGAGACAGAGTCTCACTCTATCACCAGGCTGAAGTGCAGTGGCACAATTTCAGCTCACTGCAACCTCCACCTCCCGGGTTCAAGCAATTCTTCTGCCTCAGCCTTCCAAGTAGCTGGGACTACAGACGTGCACCACCATGACCAGCTAATTTTTGTATTTTTAGTAGAGAGGGGATTCACCATGTTGGCCAGGATGATATCAATCTCTTGACCTCATGATCCACCTGCCTTAGCCTCCCTAAGTGCTGGGATTACAGGCATGAGCCACCGCACCCAGCTCAATTTTTGTATTTTTAGTAGAGATGGGGTTTTGCCACGTTGTCCAGGCTGGCCTCAAACTCCTGATCTCAAGTGATCTGCCTGCCTCGGCCTCCCAAAGTGCTGGGATTACAGGCATGAGCCACCGTGCCCAGCTGCTTTTATATACTATTAACATTAGAAACTATTGGTACTTGCAGATGACCAATCTGGGTAGGAAAAAAAAAAAAAAGAAACTGTAGCATACATGCTGCCTTCAACTCCCCATTTCGGGAGCACAGGATATGAACATCATAGTAACTAGAGAGGGATTCATTTCTGATTTGCCCCACCTAACATAGATATTATAAGTCCATTTTAAAATTTTATTTATTTATTTATTTATTTTTGAGACGGAGTCTTACTTTGTTGCTAGGCTGGAGTGCAGTGGCATGACCTCAGCTCACTGCAACCTCCGTCTCCCAGGTTCAAGTGATTCTCCTGTCTCAGCCTCCTGAGTACCTGAGATTACAGACACGCAACACCATGCCTGGCTAATTTTTTTATTTTTAGTAGAGATGGGGTTTCACTATGTTGACCAGGCTGGTCTTGAACTCCTGACCTCAGGTAATCTGCCCACTTGGGCCTCCCAAAGTGCCGGGATTACAGGCATGAGCCACCCAGCCCAGCTAATATAAGTCCATTTAAATATATCCACAGTTAGGATAAAACATTATTCTGGTCGGGTGCAGTGGCTCACGTCTGTAATCCCAACACTTTGGGAGGCCAGCACGGGTGGATCATGAGGTCAGGAGATCAAGACCATCCTGGCCAACATGGTGAAACCCTGTCTCTACTAAAAATACAAAAATTAGCTGGGCATGGTAGCATGCACCTGTAGTCCCAGCTACTCAGGAGGCTGAGGCAGGAGAATCTCTTGAACCTCGGAAGCAGAGGTTGCAGTGAGCCGAGATCGTGCCACTGCACTCTAGCCTGGGTGACAGAGCGAGACTCTGTCTCAAAAATAAATAAATAAATAAAAACATAATTCTAACCTTTGAAAAGGTGTAAGAGTATGAATAGTTTCTACGGATATTCTCGGGCTAAAAGCTAAATGGCCCTGTTGTTTTTAGAATTCAAAAGCCAAGTTATCACTTGTATGGGGCAAGTAAGTTTCACTGCCTCTGATTTGGGACTTTTTTTTTTCTTTTCCTTTTTTAATTTTTTCCTTTATTTTGGCTTTGATTCTCTGATTCAATGTGAAGTAGAGGAAAGAGCACTTTACTAGAAGGTGGAAGACCTGGATGGTGTTTCATGCTAATTTAATATTATAGGTTCTTTTCCCCAAACTTCATTTCATTTTACCAGAATTAAAATTAGAAATTTCAAAGTAATTTTATACCTAACACCTAAGTAATACAGAAGATGCGGTAAGTGTAAACTTTGCTACATGCTCGGTCCCTCAGAGTCAGAAACAGGGCTAATATTAGGTTATATCTTCTAGAATACCTAGATATGTTTTAACTGCCTGGTTCATTTTGGAGAAGAATATTGTGGATGATTTTAGACTAATTAGAAGTTAAGCAGACCGTTGATTTGTGGTTGTCATTTATTTGCATGTAATCTCTCTGGGATTATACTGAAGTCCATATGTAAGTAAAAGTCATAATTTGTCTTTGCCAAAAATGAGAAAAACATTATTTTCTCATGATAGGTGTTTGAAAAACTCCAACTTTTCTATCCAGAGTGCCAACCTGAGCAGATTCTGATGCCTATAAATTCTCAGCTCAAACTCTATACCAACAGGTAAGGAAAAGGGAAAATAAGGAAGTGCCAGGATCTAAGTTTAACTATCTTCAGTAAAACATAGAAAGAACACCTTTGCCTTCTAGGAGACTTTTCTAGCCCATAAATAATTTTTTATATGAGGTGAAATTCCCATAATATAAAATTACTGTAAAGTGTAAAATTCAGTGACATTTAGTACATTCACAATATTGTATATATATATATATATATATATATATAT